ACCAGGTCGCTGGCGAGCTTGATGGCCAGAGCGAGAGAAAAGAGAATTTACGGATAGGACAGGAGATGGAGATGAAGACACATCGGCCCAATATACTTTCATCACCTTGGTAATTGGAGTGATGAGGCCATTGTGACGTCAATGCACACAGTGCAAGGTTCAGTTCTTACTTTTTATTCCCCTTTTTGCAGAAGAGCACAAGACCATAATCTCGGTGACCTATGAACTCTCCTCACTTTGATTAGAATCTCAAACCTAGTAAAATGAAATCACGAGCCATCAAAATTGGAACCCCTTTCATTTCTGTAATATCTTCTCGTGCAATAACGGCGACGGGAAACCTAGCATGTACACATGTAATTGAATAAGGATGAAAACGAGCGTGTGTTGTGTCTAGGTTTTATGTTGGCACAATTGCATTAAAGAGAGCTTTATATTGAATTAAATATATAATGGTGGCAGAAATGGCTTATGACGAAGGCGTAAAATTCACTGCAGTGGCTCCCAGGTTGTCTGGTGGATTTTCGCCGATTACCAGCTTTATTTTAACTAGGAGAGGGACTAATTTGCATTTTAAACATTATACTTAATGGATCCTAAGTGTGCAGGTAATGCTCAGGTTATCAGACCGTGATATCAGATCCAGCAGGGTTATTATGGGGCGGGCAAGTGCCTTTTCACATATAGCATGGACCTATCACGAAATCTCCCCTCGCTTCACTTTATGTGTGCAATCTTGTTTGCATATATGATCTGATAGAGTAAATGTTAACCAGCCTGGATCGTTTTCCCCACTTATCAGTATTGATAGAAAACATTTCACAACTTTTCACTTTCACTTTCATTTCGAGAATTTAGCGCATATCTCGTGCATACATCACGAATTGGGAGGCCAACTGATTTCACGGTTTAAGGCTGGTTCATATTTCAGGCGACCGCGAAATTGAAGCGAATTTTATATTAAAAATTTTCGTGGCAAGGTATTCCCTATAGTCAAAACTGTTCGACTGACTAGAATTGTGTTCAGCTTTTACACATTTCCAGCACGAATATTTGATTTGGCGTCAAAAGTTTGCCTTTGCTTTTACTTTTGCACCGAGTATGCACCGGCCTTTACCCTGACATATCTACATACCCCATCAGATTACTAATCAGCTCGAACGTTGAAACTGTCCATGAAACCCAACTTTTTGCAATTTGTTTTGCCCATGGCACGCTTAGAATGTCAAATCCTTTGACCACTAAGAATTAAAAAAAAAGTTTTTCCCCCAACGTTTGCCTAAAAAGCCACTTTTGAAAACTGCACAATGATGGGATTTCCCTGTAAGCTTCATTGGGGTACAGCAAATCGAATGAGTGCGCTTTTTTAATCAACTACGAATACGTTTTCAGTCAAAAGGAAAGTCAGAAGTAAGGGAAACCAAAATTACGCCCAAAAATGAGAAATTCTTCCCGTTACCGCAATGTACCGCGTTTAAACCCGATTCGACTACCCACAGCTGTTCACAAACGAGCCTTTTACCCAAAATGTCCCTGTTCGGAATGGGGCCGACATGGATTATGGTTTTTACCAGATTGAGAACGCGTTGAATTGAAGTGGGCTTCTGCCCTGGAATAAAATAAACTTCAAGGCTACAAATGAATTTTTACAAGAAAAATGATAACCTTTGAATATAGATCTTTTTGAAGAGGACAGAACCTGAAAAAGTACTCGCCGGGATACGACCCAAGAAAATCCACAATACTAATCCTTTTCCTTACCTACTACATTACACAAGCCGGTGCAACCGAAAACTCTGTTTTCCTCCTTCTGTGTCCATGACGCCACATAATGACGCTATTACATAATTCCGGGAATACTACAACGCATTTCAGTGAAGTTTCGAACAGCGGCATTTCTCCGTAGAAGCCTGTTTGTTAGCAGCGGTGGGTAGTCTGATCGGGTGGCCGTTAAGTACTCTCAACTTGACCCGCACTGCCATTTTAATTAAACCACCCTTGATTCACGCTACCAATTTGGGTAGCTAACCTTCATTCGCATAGACCTATACCAGAGTCAGTGAAACGAGGAAGACAGGTTATTTTGAAACAATTAACTACATGCCGTACATATAGAACAAAAAGTGCATTAAATACCAATTGCTAATAGCATTTCCACAAGTGTTTTTTTTAAGAGATTGACCAGCAGCGTAACATGATTTGAGGCTGCGTTTCTTAATTTACATACATGTATTTGGTTGATACTTATCTCCGACTGGAACTCTAAGGCCAAACCTATAACCCCAAAATATTTCTTCATACATAATGCTTTTATTCGTTCATGTCACTTTTTGGAAAAGCTAAAGTTCATGAAGCTATTTTGGAAACAACTTTGAAGCACTTAATTTGGTTATTGTCTCGGCCCAAATCACCCCCAGTTAGCTATGTCAAGACCCCATATAGCGCTGTAGAAGTTGGGAAACAGGTGCTCACAAAGTAAGCTGAATATCTGGTAAAAATGATGTGGTTGATGAATACAAAATGGGCCAAGAACGTTAAGGTTTGGGCAAGGAGTGAGAAAAAAAGAAGATGCTTGACGTCTTATCAGACGTGGGAAACTACTCAGATATCAATAGGGCAGAAAACGCCGTAGAAGCTTCTGAAACTGTTTCCCTCGATCGGTACATTGCCGGTTGTATCTTGACTGTATGCTGATTGACATAGTATTGAAAATAGACTTGAAAGTATCAAGTGCATACCCGCACTCTAGTCAGTGACGTAAATCTGTGTTGGAAAATGGGTGGACAGGGGATGGAGAAAGGTGTGGGGGGGATGACTTGCCCCGCCATGGAAATTTGAAGGGGGGGGGGCGCCGTATACACTACATCGAGGGCAATGTTCATGATAAAGATGTACATCTGTGTATCAAATTCATGCAGAATCTCACATCAGAATGGTATATTTGTAGCTTTTCAAAGTTGTTTTCCTATTTAGTGATATAGCAAACATTTTATGTCATTGAAAAATCTCGAAAGTTATTCATAATCCGCTATATTTTTTTGCTCATCACAAAAACGTGGGGATGATTTAATAGCCCATTTTCCATCCCCAAAAAGTGGGGAGGGGATTTATACCCCCATCTCCCTGGGATTTACGCCCATGACTCCAGTATACGTTCTTGCGAAAGTCACAAGTCATAACGACACCAAAATGCTGGTCAATTTCATACATTTAATCAGCTTGTGTGATATAGGGGTGGGGCTCAAGCTGAGTCTGGCTACCATTATTACACGAGGACCGCCATTTTGAATACCTGCACCAGGCAGTGCGTCATTTCATAGTGACGTCACTCTGATGAGACGTCAAGCAATAGCAGCAGCGCAAGACTTATTCCGCCCACGGGAAGCGCATCTCCGTCAGATTATGTGGCGCGTATTGCGGATATGGAAACAGGTGCGACAGGCATAACTTATCATTCCATAGGACTGATCGGCTGCGGGGGAATTATCTCTCGCGAGGTGTGCAGGACCCAAAGGTATCACACTTAGGCCTAACAGTCTCCAGTCTCAGCTAGAAAATGTGGCACATCCTTGTGAAGTCACCGAAATGACGTTTCGATTGCTCATGAATTTATGTTAACAAAACTTTTTAGTTCTAGCAGTCTATAGGTCTAGCAGAACCTTGTCAAAGTAAAGTGAGCATCTCTGCGAATAAATCAACACATTATCCTTTGGACCAATGAGAGTGTACACTGGAAATTTGAGTTTCCCAAAATGACGCCCCTTCCTCTTTTTGTGTTTGGCCAGGGCGCAACAGCTACTTGCACAGCGAAAAATCTGTTGGTTTGGGGGATTTACCAGAAATATGATTTTCAGAACGAAGATGAATGTGGGGTTGGTAGCACTGACTATCACTGATATTTTCAGGTGCCACTGATGAAGTTTGTGAGTCCCTATTTTGTGCATACCGCACGCGGCCGCATTCGTGGCATTTTTCTTGCAGCTTCCATCGTACGTTTAGGTTAAATTAGGAATAATATTTATGTGTTGGCCTTGGCATTATGTTTCTATTCTCTTTCGTTACTTTCTTTTTGGGGTCTTGAGGAAAGCTCCCCTTTAGTCCCCACGATATTTCGCTCCGTCAAGAGTCTTTTGAGAGCAGTGGAGATTCAACTTACTTTCATACGTATCACTGTGTGTGCGATTCACAATAGTGTGCCTCCAAGAGTTTGCAACGCCTTGACTAATCACACTGCGCGAAATCTATCGACCCACGGCACATTTGGAAAGGGTCGACAGGTTTCGCGCACTGTGATTGGTCAACGAGTTGAAAAGTCTTGGAGGTGCACTATTGTGAATCGCCCGTGTTGAAACAAGATCTAAATACTTGGCACTCCTTATTAAATTCTTCTTCTGAAGAAAAATACTGGCCACTACTTTGTCCAAACAGCTTTGTAACATGAAAAACAAAGTACATGTATAAAGTGAAACCTACACCGAGAAACGGTAGAGCAGTTCGATACAAAGCTTGGGAGGCGCCCTCGTTCTACCTCGAATGACATCATGCTGTGGCTCGTGAATATGAAAATCTTCATCAGCATAAAATCCTAAATATTGAAATTTCTCTCTTTAACTGCTACAGAGAAGGTGGAAAGTCATGGTAACCTTTAAAGTTGTGCCTCAAATAATTAAAAGCCTGTTGTTTGGTGCCTTTAAGGGGAGAAAAGCCTTTTTGAACCCAGGCGGGAAGTTATCACTGAGTGAAAACTAATTAGACAGACTGTGGCAGCGACTGATGAACCGAACTAACGTTATGTTTATAATACAGGGAATCAAACCGGGGATAATGGAAGTATAAAACGTGCTAATAACTGTAACCTATCTACTTGTCATGTCAAAGTGTAATGTGGATGGCATTTCCCTTTATACAGTGCTGTGAGCTTTTACATAGGAAGGGGTGCGCCGTCTTGAAGAGTGCTGTACGCTAGTGTGTCATTTAAGACGAGGTGCGCTTACCGCGTGATGTAAGTACTATATTCATTTTCAGCGAACACCAGGAGTTAGAATGACAACGAACACCCAACAGTGAAAGGAATTGAGCTTGGTCCAGGCACCTCTCAGCGTCTGATTTGGAGGTAAGAAGCAATCAGAGAGTATTGAGGGGTAAGAAGATGGACCCGGACGAAACAAAAACAAGACGGGTAGAAAGGAGAAAAAATTGTCTGTGCCCGGCATGTCCGTTGGCGCGCGTGCGAGGTTCCGACACCTGCCGGGCTGAGGGCTAATTATAGCGGAAGTGTTAGAATAATTTGGGCCGGTGAAATTGGATAGCGACTGATTATCCACAGGGACAGGTATGTGATTGAGGAAGATAGCGGATGGAGTGGAGGGAGGGAGGTTGACAGCACACGGCCAGGCGGAGGGGGTCATTCACTTGAAAGTGCTGGGGAGAATGATGATAAGTGACAGAGAAGAGATGCAGTAGGGTGGATATCAGTGGCCAAAATCGTCGTGCTGAGCGAAGATGGCTTTTGCTTCTTAGAGCAGGCTTGTTGCTAATATTTCAATACTATGCATGGAATATACAGGTTTTCGTACAAGGTAGCAGTGGAATTCTGGACAAAAGAAGCGTTACAAAAACTATGGTGTAAATTCAACATCCTCGATATTCGTAAAGGGCAACACCTGACTGGGGTTCTCCTTAATTCTGGATTCTGAGCGTGTTGATTCAGCACCAACTTTATTCTACAGTATTTGAAATAAAGGTACTAGATCAGTTATCATATAAGCACTTCTGATATTAGCGATGAGTAAATATAGACTTCGAATCAGGTGGACATTCCGAAAGGAAGAAATATTTGTTTGAAATTTGGTGAGAAGGCTGAAAGAACTCCTGAGATGCAGTTAACTACAGGAAGAAAATGGCATGACTATCTGATGTGTAAGTCATAGCAACTTTCTGGATATATCACATTAACGTTTACGAATTAATAGACGAAATGCCAACAATAAAAAAAGAAAAGAAAAGAAAGAAAGAAAGAAAGATTTATCCGTGTTCATAATTGAAGGATGACTTACACGTGGATAGACAGAAAAAAATGTCCTTAGCACCACTCAAATTAATTAAGTAACAGAGATCTTGATGGAAACCTATCCCATACTTCTTACAGAAGCAATCTAGTACTGGCGGATCACATAGACGTTTTCGCGAGGGATCGCTGGTGGTTTATCTCAAACCACCGACAATACTCACTGGAAAAAAGAATGGATCCCAATGGCGCGAAAATTTCAGGGAAGAAAGCTTCAAACTGAATAGGGGTGCACTCCACCGGTGCGAGCGGAATGCAGCTGAGAGCAGGTGATGATGAATAGGATCAGTTGGATGATCAGACCCTCAGCTCGAGGAAGAGAGACCGGGAGAGGGAAAGGAGGGCAAATTCAATCTGTTGGCTGCTAATCGGTCACTCTTTACGACGCTGATTGGTAAAGATGAGGCTGACGAGAAGGGGGAGAGAACAGCCTCGGAGACGATGGGCGCACAGGGTGTTGAAAATGGATGGGATTTAGGCGGGGAGGGAGGGGGCGAATCAGAGTGAGACAGGGGATAAGAGATGGAGGCAAAACAAGGAGTGATTTAATTTGATGGGAATTTCAGCCTCGGTGTGCGAGCACAATTAAGGCGGATAGATTGGCACTATTAGGCGGAGGTTTCTTTCTTTAAGGAAAGCGAAAGGCAATTTTGAACTACAAGCGAAAGGTGGAATAGAAAACAAAGTCGGGTGCTGAAATACGGGGATTTGGAGAGTTTTAACATTCTTTATTAATATGCGAAGAACGGAGAATGGGCTCAGCTTTTTGTGTGTGTGTGTGTGTTTAGAAGGGAGGCCTGAAGGTGAGCGTGTCTAGTATGATTATAAGCCCAGAGTCAATGAAGCACAGTAAGTGGAGTGTTGAAACGCCAAACTTCATGTTACCAAGTGAGGGCGCTGCAGCACTCGCACTACTGAAAACAAAGGTTTTTACGGACGAGATCAGCAGGCCTGAAGATCCGTCGCATTATGCCGCATCGTAAATCCCTTTCGTATTGAAGTTTTACAAGATGTGCTACTACTCTGACGGAGTCCAACTTCGGCTAATTGCCTAAGTAAAGGGCCCACACAATGTAAGTTTTCAGGCAGTCCTTGTAAATACACCACATTCACCTTATTTGGCGTGTTCCATTTTGTCATTTGAAGTATTTCAGAACCTCTTTGGTTTTAGTGACAATGCTAATTGCATACTCGAGTACAGTGACATATCATTTTAGGAAAAACCCTTAACGTTACAGCAATTTCAGAGCGTCAAAATTTCAAAGAATTTGTGATATATCTCTGAGTAGCATTTCCTTTTCTTTGCAGATTTATACCTGACAGTTGACAGGTGGGAAATTTTCCCCACAAATATTATACAATGAGCACATTTGTTCCTCCTCACGGCGTGAATATTGTCGTCCTAAAACTACATCACAGTGCTGAAACACTGAAATGAAAAGAACGTACATTTTTCAACAAGATTAACCAAAACAAACACGTTCACCAGTTTCAACAACTCACAAAATAGATCGGGCGTTGGCAAAAGTGGAAGGACCCACGCTACCCTGTTAACTCAATTACACCTATAATGACTACATCATCATTTCCAAATTCCCCTGCAGTTAGCCTTAAACCTATAAAGTAAACCAATCGGAGTGTTCAAATGACTAATGACTGCTGAATCTAGAGACGCGTTCGGAAAATCTGGTTCCTTATCCAAATATCAAAAACAACAGGAAATACTCAATAAATGTTGAATATTTAAGAATTAAGTGCAAAGAAGGTGAAGGTGGTCATGTTTGACCGCCTTGTCATACCAATCGTGCTTACATGGGCAAGCAGCGATATTCAAAGCACCCACTACTCGCAGAATCGAATAATTACACATTGGGATGATAAAACGCAAAAACCAATATTGACAACAGCACGTATATGTATAGCGCACTAGTCTGATTATATGCTCAGCGCCGGCCGATGAGTCACCCCGCTTGCACAAGGGGTGAAGTTGACGGCCAGCAGCCTACTTGCATAATGCCGAGCGTTTTTGGTAACTTTCTTCAGTGCAGGAATCCACTTGGGAGATTTGAACACGGGGAGAACTACCGGCGAGCGTGCTGCAGAATGGTGTATTATAGGAGTCGGGTGCCGCTGAGCCCGGTGTCCATCTCCATTTGACCGTGACGCAAACGCCGTGGAAGGATAGCCAGGAGATATCATTACGGGGAAGTAAAGTCAATGATTTCCCGAGGAATAACGTTGGGATTGCATTCAACTGAATTAGCCTACTCCAATCTGGCTAGAATATTTAACGATAATATGATGCACTTGTAGTTCATGATATTATGCACGGGATGGAAACGAATTGCAAAGAGCATGGTGCCAATGTAAATTAAAATAACGCATACAGTATTTTTTTTAATTTCTTTATAATCCTGGAGAAATCATTAACAATTTTTAAAAATCAAATTCGCTCCAAAATGTAGCCTGGAGCCGAATACAATACAAATACACACAACATAAATTGTAGGTGAGAACTACAATAAGAATATTTATTGGCAGTAGTTTTCTTTTGATTGTTCCTTTATGATCTGCTGTTGACCTTTCTGAAGAAAATCCAAATTTGTGGATGCTGTCATGACAGTGAATATGAAAGTCCACAATACCCGTGCAGAATGACAAAATACACAGAGAAGCGTCAGGCAATTTGTCTCTTCACATCAACCTGCAATGGGCGCCACTCCGCTTCTTGAAGACAGATCTGCGAAGTTATGGCTCTGTTTCGAAATTAACATCATCGAAATCTTGACAATTATGTTGCTTGGGCCATGAAGTGTACAAAATAGAATTGTGCGGAACACAGTCTCCGTGCAGGCTCGGGTTCTAATTTATTAATAGAATGCGTTCAAACGCCAAGGAAAGTTCTCGGCGATTTTTTTCACCTCCATGCTTGCGATTATCATACAGCCAAGCTTGGCAAGTGAAAATCCATTATCACCAAGATGCCGTGCTGGATTTCATAATCTTTTGCCACATCTCCTTGTTCCTGCAATTACATTAGAATTAATATTAGAGATAAGTGCACAAAACAGTCAGATATATAGTGACTGGAAAAAATGCAGGAAACATGATCAGAGAGAATAACTAGAGGCGCTCACTTTTCATGCTCTGCGCGCCGACATGTTTCGCGTCACATTATTACTGAGCGGGGGGGGGAGAGAAAAAATTCCACTTTGGCTCTTCCGTATCTGCAGTGCAGTGCGTGTAACGTCTTTTATACAGATGACATGCCGACACACAGACCGCGGGTAGATGGTGTGAATAGCGATAATTATCTCGGGGAGGGAAGCGGCAATTTTCTATGCTCGATTTCGTGGCCGTTTGTTGGGAAACAAAACGGTCGGAGAGCAGGAATAAGAGTACGAAATGCACTTTCAATTCGACTGATTGAGCACGCGCCGTCGGGAACTTGATCAGAGGATGGTTTCGGACAGAGTGTGCAGATTTTAAGGAGGTGCAGTTGAACTGTTTAATGGCTGATGTACATGATGAGACGTGTGCATTATGTAATTCTAGGGTGCACCTTTTTAGCTTTAAATTGTAACTACGAAATATCCTGGTTTAAAATGCTCCTTAACCAATAGAATTAAGTGCCTTGCTTGCTAAGAATTATATATTTGCAAAATCTTCACACACTGTTTGACTCAAATGAAAAAAAACAATCCGTAAATCGAGTGGTCAGGCACGCGTGTCCCTAAATGGACAAAATATTGGCCACAAATGTTACAATAATAACCAATGAACTGTTAAACGTTGTTATCTCAGCCCCCAAAATAACAAAATATAATTATCCACCGCAAGTTTGGTAATCGATTCTCGCATAGGCGCCATTAGACCAAATAAACATTGTTGTAATCGATTACGTGAAGTAGCATCTGCATTACTGCAGTCCTCGATCTCAGTAATTTGATTTACAAGCAGCTAAAATCGCAGAAATTTCGGGTCGATTAAAACAAGCTGAAACCGCGTAGAGGGAGCAGTACTGATATGAAAATTACAAAACTGTTTCTACTCAGTCACAACTAAATCCAGTTTCGATGACAAGTAAAAGTACTTTCTCCGAAACTCTGAGGAAAGTCTTGTCGAATGCCGACAAAAATGTAGGCCTAATTCAAAATGTGTCACAGCATGTAGAGTTGATTGTGTTGTTCTTGGATTGTGATTTTCTTTCCACATTCAACATCGACAGCACAGCTATGATACTGGTTTAAAGCAGATCACACAACCTACAGCTGGCCATTGAACGACATATAAATGCTGTTACACATTAATGTTTCCATGCTGTCATAAAACTTAATCGAAGTATGTAGTTCAGACATCATGGAAAACTACATCACTACAGTTAATAACGTATTAAAAGGAGACAAGCTAAATCCTCTGAAGCCACTCGAACTCACAGTTAAGTTCGTTTCTGACATAAAGGAAGATTCACAAGTTATCTCACCAGTCTTCCAATGAAGGAATCTATCGGAACATTTCTTGCAAAGATAAATGAGACAATAGTAGGCCATAAAAGGTCGGCGGCCATCTAATTTACACTGATTTGAGCAAAGCAGCATCTAATAAAAAAGCCAGGAAATAATATTACACTGAGCGGAACCCGTGCAAAGATCAAAGAATGGCAAATAAAACCCTATCGTTCTGTCTTGGAACAATGACTCCAGAACTGACGCGACTAGCTTTTCATTGTGTCAAATGGAAGGGTGGAGAAGGGGAAAAAGAGATGTTTTGCTCCCATCCATGGCGACCTTGGTCTGGGCATAAACTTGAGCTTCTGTCATGCAGTGCAGAGAAGTGGCCATTACGGCGCGCACTTCAATAACGACCGCACCAAAGACATCTCAAGGACGACTTGGAAGAAAGCTTCATTGTCAGAAAACGAATTTCTAAATGGCCTAAACCATGAGTTAATCAACCTGTCTTCAGCCATGTAGATTCATGACAATCATATGCTGTGAAAGTCGTCGACAGACTCATGTTTATTTTCACAAACACCAAAAAACGGCCAATCATAAAACCAATAACTAGTCCTGCACGTGCCATTCCAAATTCCTTACATAAACATGTACTCATTCACATAGATACAACAAGAAAATTTAATATCAGATCCACAAAAACGCCTGACTTAAAAGACTTTCTTCGAGCACATTGAACGGACTGTGTCCAGCCTAAAGCTATAAATCACATGGCGTTTTCTGTTTCCAAGAGACAGGGAGAACAAAAAAGGGAGGAGAAAAAATAGAGAGAGAGAGAGACAGGCAGAGAGACAGAATAAAGAGGCAACATTTGATGCCCAGCTGTTGTCGAATGCGGGCATCTGATTTAGGCCCTTAGGTTTCGTTTTTATTACAGTCGGGCTCAGTTTACAAGGCTTATACGCAGAGGTTTTGTCTGCTGACTACAGTACAAATTGGAATTCGCTGCGATTGCTACTTTGCCCATGATTTTCTTTATTGTTTTTTTTCTCCAACAAAAAGCCGATGGTTGTGTGCACCTTTCCTTCAAATCGATGCATTGCCAGCGTATGCTTCCCCACAAAAGGCCATTTACATTATTTGGTAGACTGTCTATAATAGATACCGTACAAGATGGTCAAAACGAGCCTGTGTGAAAACAATATGGCATTACAACTCGTGCGTCTAAATGTTAATTAAGGCATTGCTATATGAAATAATAGGAATATCAGAAATGCAGGATTTTATTCAACCCACGTCTCTACTCATAGCAGGGAAAATGAAAACAATTCTGGCCTATTTATATCTTCAGTCATGAACCGCGTTTCTGATATTCTGGAATCTTTGTAATATTATGCTTCAGGTATAATATGCACACTCGCTTTCCCCAAGGGTGCAAAACTGCGCGTGTTTGTGAGCCTCTTCTAAGCGCGAATACGCACGCGTCATTAATTCCGATGGCATGTAGCCGCTTGAGCATCTTCGGTAATGTTACTGATCGATTTCGTTTTCTCCAAAGGCTCACTCACACCTTGCCTACGTCGTCACACCATACCACGACACCTGGGTAGCGGTAGGGAGAACATGAGGGATGTGATTCACACATCGAGGGGGTAGGTAGTATTTAGGGAGAAAAAAACTGAATGTGATCACCGTAAGTACCCTACAATCTGCAAACAGCACCGTTTTTGTACAACCAACCCGTGACATGATACGCAGTATTCTGTAACCAAACCTGCACCGAATTATACCACAGACACCCGGGTGATATGAATTTTACAAGTTTTAGCGTTCTGTACCATCAATTGCGTCATTCTATACTTCCCTAGCGATCGACCAATCACGCAGATAATACGTCAGTGACCAATAGCCGAACACGAATTATAATGAGCTTTGTGACGCAGATTACGGCAACAAAAATATGTTCCAGCCACTGTCATTTCTTTTGATCAATACGACCTACTTTCTCTTGACTCAGGTCCCTGGCGAAGATGCTACACGGATACTGTTTTCAAGAAGGCTTCGAGGATCTCTGTTCAAAATCTGCAACTGTCGTAGATTAATGAAATGTTACCGGACAAATAGCTGTGTATAGAGTTTAATGGGGGTTTGGTCTTACTTTGAATAAAACATGACTCAGACATCTAATTAGACGGCAGTGGTAATACAAGTTTTATAAATAGCTGTTATCGTGTCTCACACCACACGTCAACACTCTTTTTGCATAAGCAACGGCAAACGACACGGAAAAGCTGGATCCTTGCATTCAAGTACCCAATGCGTATCAGGTTTTCTAAATTTATCATCACTTAATTGACTTAAGAGATACTTAGGACCAGCGACCAGGCCTAGCAGTAAGCACCAAATTTCGTGCTCTTAAAAATAACTCCTGCTTCGATGCACCCGTTTACACCTTGTGCAACCAATATGTGTATCATATACCTAGAATCAGTTGCCTCTTGGGCAGGTGTACAATTTGCCACCGTAAGAGGGCGCTGTGGCCTTGTAGCTTCTAATCGGATAGTCTACACACATCGGAAAAAAGTCGTTGAGTGCTGGATGGATAAGGTTATTTAGATGTTAGAATTGGCTCCATTTTTACTGTAAATTCAGATTAGATGAATAGTACATGTTCAAGCGATTAGGTCAGTGTCCTTTTGACACAAAACGCAATAGATGTGTCCATGTGTTTTTTCCCGCCACAATCTTCTAAACGTTTCTTTTCAAGCATTCGGCCCTTTGGGAATATCACTTTGTGTCAGTTCTCCGGTCTTCGTGTCGAGTTACCTGCCGAAAACCAACAAACAAAACCACCACCCACGTCACAGAACGCGACACTCCACTTCGACTGGGGGATTGAGGCGATAAATTCTCTGGGAAATGAGCGATTGCAGCGGCAGAGGACGACCCAGAGAATGACCTCTCGCACGGGCGGCCACCAATGACAGCGCAATTATACCCCGTGGTGCAGCTGGCAAGAAAGGTGTAGTCGTTCCAATTTTAAGTGGGTTCCAATTTGCAAGGACGGTTTTAAGACGCCCTTTTTGAACGTCAATTCACACATGTAGTACTTAACAGCGCTTACCACCATACAAATAATCTAGGAGCGCTTTATAGTTGCTACCCCGCTGGGAAGACCAGTCGGCAGTATCAGCGCACATTGTCTCTGTCCTCACAGGTACCCACTTTGAACCCATACACACCAGAGTGGAGGGAGTAAAGTTGGGATACAGTGACTTGCCCTAGGTCACAACATGTTGCTGACAGCTGGATGTGAACCTCTGATCGGGAATCACAAAGCTGTGACAACTTCTGCCACAAACCGGCTTCGAGGCATTAGGCCTCGCAAATCCGATATTGCGCATTATAGCATTTCATCTGGGTCCGAAGTGCTTTCAGTCTGAAGAGTTACATCTCTGTGAATGGTGAGGAGACAACTTTTGTGTTGGGTAAAAACATTGTGATGTTGGGGGGAAAAGGAAGACTAAACAAAAAAATAGTTCGTAAAAGTTGAGCTAGTTAATGACAAGGCTTTAATCATTTAGATCTATCATTTGTACACTTGCATAATATATTACCTATAACACACACAGGAAAATAAAAATATGAAATATTCATAGTTCTACTAAGGGTTAAGATTTCTTTAAACGCCTCGCCTGCATTGGATTAAGTAAAACTGAAATAAGCCCCCCCAACCAAAAAAACCCAAAAATTCTGAACATCGTTCGAAAGACGCCTGACGAAAATCAAAATTCAGTTTTGACCCTTTCAGCCAGGTCTAACAGGCTTGGTTTTTATGCTGACTCCACACTCTATCCCTTGACATACATAAATCATATTACCTACGCTAAAGTCATTATCCTTCAGTTTCGTCTGCACACTTGAATCGAACTCTCCCAAAAGCGCGTCAAGACTGGATAGGAAAAGTTCAAGAATACGAAAAAAAATCAAGCGGGAACTCATTAAATCACGGTAAGGGAAACGCTCACTTCAGAATGGAGACTCAGAGGCCCCTGGATGGTGTGAAAAAGTGATTAAAAAGTCCGTGCATCGCTATGCGCTATACGTCAGCCATGCTGTTGAGGGCCATGGAGTACAACACTCTAGTGACGTCACCAGGCCAGCGTGTATTTCATTCTGAAAAAAGGTGTTTGTGGTCACAGCTTATGCAAAGAATTGTGCATCATACAAATGGTCATTTTTGAGCCAAAATAGCCACATCCGCAACGCATTTTTCCTTTTTCACATCCTTTTTTTGTTAGTGCATTTGTGCACTGACTGGGCCCATGGCGCCTTCAGTCATTCGCCCTCGCTAGTCTAAGCCGGTGGCTAGCCCCTGGTTGGCATCCACCGTCATTAAAGTGGAAGCTGAGTTCACGGGCTATAATTTTTGGATGGGCAGCCATTCCTCAGAGTTGGTTTGCTCGAGCAAAACGAAAGCGACAGGGGTATGAATTACGCTCTTGTAAATACGAATCCGGCTTTAATGAAGGATGCTATATAAACAGTGGCGGATTTATTGTCTCTTTTGGTTAACTGAACGAGCAAACAGACCCGAATCTGACCCGACAGATAATCACAACAGAAGGGACCTCATGATGTTAAAAAGAAGTACCAAAAATGCAATCCCTTAGATGTCTTCGTATTTCAAGGCGGTCACTGACGAGCGAATTAGCATAGAAGAGCATGGAAGCTTATACGTGTATATTAATTTATACGCGTACTAGAAGATAACCACAAAATGAAAAAAATATAAAGAAAATCAATCTGAGCTATATTTAATTTCATTTGCTATGAAAAGCTGTATTAGTTCGTGGGTATGACGGATTTGTACGTTATTTTGTTCAGATGTTTGTTTGCTTGGTCTTAACCCAAAATCTCCCCGAGAAGCATATGCATTTAAGTGCATGCTCGCATTTATTCACATCGATTTTTTAAATCTTAAAACTAAGCACCAACAAAACCACCAGAAGATCCCCAGGAGCTCAATGCAAACGTGAACAGTTCCTTCAACTGCCCTGCAAATTACATGAACATAGTCCACGACATATCTGAAGCGTCCGCAAGCGCCAGGAATAAAAAAGGACAAAACTGTGGCGCATGGCCTTGATCTCCCAAAGGTGAATCAACTCTTTGGCCATAATCGTTTACCTCTCCGTCCATTAGCTCATACAGAAAATTATGCATAACTGTCTTACATCGCTGCGTTTGATCATATTTTGATTTCCGATCGATTAGCAACCAGCCAAGTGAAAACTCTGTAATTAATTTTTCTCCCACTTATTTAAAAAAAAAGATTTCATGAAGAAGTTAGCGGATACCATTGATTAAGTCAGGCCTTTAAGCAAAATTGAACTCTCCGGGTGCCACTCGTTTAACAGTCATTGCAGACTCTATGTACACATATTAACAACAGTCTTGATGTATGTCATTCGGTGGCTACGTAAAGAGATTACTGAAGGTGTAGGCCTATAACATTCCCGTGCAGATCTCTCAGCAAGTCACAACTCCCCGAAACACCAGTATGGCAAGTGTGCGAGTACCGACACCACACTAGTGTTTTTTTATTTACTATTGCCCACCAAAATGCTACTGATTCACAAAACACTAACCTTTACGGTCGAGTTTACTGACGCGCTAAAATATTTCTAACTTTGCAATTACAAGATTTCGGGTAGTTTGTACCGTATTACGAAACGTCAAGGTGAAAAATATTTAGCAAATGCATTTAAATAACGTAGCAAATGCATTTAAATAACGTGGTAAATACTTCCTAGCGGTTGTTAGAAGAAAGATTATGTTTTAAGTGGCGGGACAAATTCCTCAAAAACCCACACGACCGAGACACGCTTCCTGCGAATATTACGAAAACGGTCAAGCATATGCTATTTAACTTGCATTGCATGCCTTTGGTGACCAGGTTAATTACATTTTGCCAGTTTTCGTCACCAAAATGTTTCATCGCTTTTGTTTTCAATACAAGAAAGCACTAATACACGTTAAGATGGAAACTGCACAGCGGTCTTGAAAAAAATGCCTTGAAATTTTACGCGGTATTTGGCCCTTGGTAAATTGGGTATCGATGACTGTCTTTGGTGTCAATTGACGACTTCTTGGACCATAGGATGAGATGCACCTTGAGGAATGCAGGGGAAAAATGGAATTTGATGACAAAGGAGAAAGAAACAGGAGAGCAAAAACGGACGCTAGGCGCCATTTTGATTCGATTAGCTTTTAATACCGAGACTCTTAAGTGCCCGTCCACAATTTCCAGTCAGCCCCACGCGTACTGATACTCGGATCGCATTTTTTAAGGAGTAGCTCACGCGAGAGAGGAATTTAATTTTGTGGTTGAAAACTGACTGTCTTGGCATTTCGACAAAATACATCATCTTGAATTTTGCATATGCATACATGTTTCCACAGTACAGTGGTCAAACAGGACGGATCAGTAGAACAACATGGCACGTTGAACGAACCCAACTTTCGCTTGGCATTTCCCCTTTCTGAGGCACAAATATATATATATAAGTGGTGGGTAGTCGAAATGTGTAAACTTAAGAGAGTCCCATCATTTTGTCACAATCTGATTGTGTGTGAATGGAGCATACATATATGAGTTTGATTTCAGCGATTAGCTTTCTCATAATTCAAATTTCACTTCTCTCTGTCACATATGTAAAAGTAGGACATCTTACGTTCGTCATGGGGGAATACATTTAAATCACAGTCTGTGTTGTTTTTTTAAATTTAAATACCCCATCTGACCTTTTCAAGCGCTTAAATTTCATGTCTGTCGAACAGGATTAAAAACACACTATTTCCACATTTTACTTATACCTCACGTTGCATTTCATGGTTCATGCATGCGTCGTGCATCATCCCCTTTACAGTTTCATTCAGTCAGTTGTAGTACATATCGGAAATTTACACAGTTTCATTTTCATTTGGCTTCATATAAATTATTAATGCAAATTTCCTATGAACAGAATAAACAAGGAAAAGCTTTGGCGACACACTCAGTGCTTAAGAATTTAAAAATTAATTGAAGAATAGCATCAACTGCCGAATGGTAAATCTCTGAACTGATATGACGTCTT